CTCTGTGGATTTGCCTTATCTGGATATTTTATGCAAAGGGTATTTTACGCAAAGGACATTTTATGCAATGGGAGTTATATAATATGTAGCCTTTTGTCTCTGACTTAATAATGTTTTTGAGTATTTTTAATACTCAAAATAATTATGTTTTTTAGTATTTTTTTCAGGAATAAATGCGTCTTAGTTTGCTGTAAGCTTTTGGGTTATTTCCAGGGCACTGAAATGGTTGTTTTTTATAATTTTGTCCAGTTTTATAGTTGCTTTTTTGGGGAAAGGATTTGGTGACTTCTTCACCCCACCATGCTGGAGGTCCTAGCCCTTTTTTAAATTTTAGGGAGGAAATGAAAGGCTCCAGGTAAAATCTGGCACTAAAGGTTGACTTCACTTTGGATATACTGTGCTTTGATCATAGCAATTATCATAAGAGACATTTTCTTGAATCATCTTTTCCAATGACTCCTGACATAGGCCACGCAGAGATCTAGAGAATTTAAAGTTTTTGGTCAAGAGTCTTTTGAACACAGGCATTTTCTATTACTTGTTCTTAACCTGGAATCTGCCCAAAGAGCTTTCCTCTCTTCTGAATTCATAGTAACTCTTTATCATTTTTAATTTTCTCAGTGAACAGATATTGAAAGTACAAGTACTAGCTAGCATTTGGGGAGTTCAGTATAAATGTATATGTCATAAAGGGATCCTTATATCCAGAAAAGTGGAAAACTTTTAATCTTAACCATGGCATTGCTTTTATCATTTTAATCCTGAGTTCTGCCCCAAGATTAAAGGTATCTATTCAGCAAGGGTATGTGCCATAGAGGACAATGACCTTTCTTCCTGTACCCCATGATCCTTCACCCACTGGAGAAAGAATCAAGTTTCCAGAGAAGGAGCAATGGAGTTTCAGTCAGTCTGACCAAGGCTCCTGTAACCATGGCCCAGAAGCTCCCAGACTGGAAATACGTACCTACTTCCTACTACCCCCTCCCCTGACCTGGGTTACAGACCATATATATCCCAGAGAATAAAGTGCCCCTCTCAGCACATGGCACATAATAGATATCCCCAAACTCCTGGCTGGGTTGAAATGAAAGGCAGGTATGTATGATGATAGTGATGATGGTGGTGTTGTATGGAGTTGTGATAGGGGAACTTCTGCTTCTTCCTTTTTAAAGCCAAGGAAGCTGTGCTGAACAGAAAGAAAAGCTGGTTGTTTCTAACTACATTTGGTGGAATAGAGAGAAACCATTCACCTTTTCTTCCAGAGAGGATCATTTTGACGAATGACACAAAAGTTTCTCCCTCACTCCTTGGTTGGGGATGAGCCCTGAGAAAGAATAAAAGAGAGTGGACACCCAGGGGCTGCCCTAAAGTCTGCACATCAGTGGGACAACCACTTGCCCCAGTCCAAGGTCCAGTAAGTAATTCAGCAAGCTGGTGGTCCAGTCAGCACCCCTCCATGAATCTTGTTAAGTACTGTATTCACTAGCCTGGACCAGTGAAAACCTTAGAAACAAGCATCATTATTCATTCAGCTCAAGTTCTGAGATGCCAATAGATACGATTTTGCTTTAAGATAAATATTATCAGAAATCAGAAGTCCTTGAATAAATATCTGTGAAATGAAAGGAGATATTACAGCAAACTATATGTCTAAGCTTATTAATAACAGTCCCTTGGCTGGAATCTGACTCATGTTGTGATGTGTTAAATGTTGGTAATAATTTGTCCTGATTTTGTTGGTCTGAATTAGCTCTTAGGATAGAGTACCCAATACCAGGTACCCCTGAGCATGTTATTTACACATATGTTTTATTGTTGGTGTTTGAATCCTTAACAGCAATGAAAGAAAATAGTAGTAAAGACTTTTTGGCCTATAATCAAGGGCTTTATTTTCACAAACATGCCATGGTCAGAGATGAAAATAATAATTTTAACTCCATCGTACAAGCCATATATATTTTCCATTCTTTAAAGTGTATATCCTCTGTGTTCTTTTCCTATTTTTCTTTCCTCCTCAGCTTTATCAAGAAGGATGCAAATAGTGAATCAATTTCATTCACTTGGAGTTCCTGACCAGTATCCCTGCATCTTGTCCATCCTTTAGGAAATTCAGGTTGAATAGCTTGTGCCTCTTTCTGGTCCTCAGATGATTTTAATGGAGTTCTAGTTCCTTCCCGTTTGAAATTCTGCAAGATAGCAATGTTCTATAGGCCACCCAAAATATTGTCAGAAAAGCTGGAAGAGTAGAAAAGAAGAGATCTTCTGTATACCACAAGAATCGATTCTGAGGACCATCTGGATGTTTCTGCCCACTAATAATTGGAGTCAACTTAGCAAGAATAATCCACTAAAGAAGGCAGAAAAATGAGTCAGCTGCAAGATGTTCACCTTAGTCTAAGAGATATAGTTGTAGCCTTGTGTCAGTGGTGAATATCTCAAAGCCTTGCTAATAAACTCTTTTTTTTTTCCATTTTGCTCATAGATCGGTCATGCTTTGCCAGATTCTATCAGGAATGCATTAGAGAGATGGTCCAAGCATTATTTCAAGCTGGGGAAATAATTTATTATCTTGAACTAGTAATGGCCTAAAGAAGTTACTGAAACTGTTTTCAGACTATTGTTTGAAATTTAGTATCTATATGTTGAAACTAAAATTGTTTGTGAGATATTGGCAAATTCTTAAATGGATAATGCTAAATAACCACACCTAACTAATTAATTCAACTTGGATTGGGTGGAAGGAATATATTCTATACTTATCCAGACATAGCAGTATGCATGTTTCCTTAAGATCAAAATTCAAGAAGTAGTGTGATTGTCTTGTAATGGGAGCAATATGCTTTGCCTTGGCTAAAGTGAGTATTCAATTGCAATAATTTCTCTTATTCTTGGCCAACTTAGATTTTGTTCTATTTAAAGTCTTACTTATATGTGTTTTAATATGACAGTCTATTGCACAGGAAGTAGGTAGGGTATAAAATCACGAAAACAAGAAACCATTTTGAGTACTTATAGGGACCTCTTCTAAGGCATTTACATTTATAATCTCTTTTAGTCTTCACATTGGGTATATGAAAGAAGAAGGTATTATTATTGTTACCCTCACTTTACAGATGAGGAAACTGAGGTCCAATAGGCCAAGTAACTTGCCCAACATAAAACTTAGTAAATGATGGAGCCTGGATTTCAAACTCAGGCAGTCTTACTGCAGAGTTGGAGCAGTTAGCCACTGTTGAATTGACTAAAGAAGTAACATGCCTACGGGATATTAACACTTGGATCTCCCAACAGTTTCCTCTCCTGCCTCACCTCTCTGCATCACCCTTCCCCCAGCACACCAAACAACCATGAAGATGATTTCCATCCCACCAACAGCATCACCATTCTTACAGATATCAGAGTTGAAAACCTTGAATTACTTCTGGCTTCCCCGCCTCTTTTCACTTTTATCAGCAACACAGACTATCAGAGAGGGTAGGTACCAAGAAACTTGTCCATGAAAAGTTTTGTGTCATTGAGTTTCTGCTGGGGCAAGGAATACCAGTATTAGGTACTGCACTTTGTTTCTGTTTCACATGGTCAAAAACAGAGACTTAAGAAATTTTGGAAATGTTCATATTAGAAGCCAGTAGACAGTAATGTTCCAACCACTTCCCAAAGAAAAGTTATTAAATGATGACACAGATTAAGCAATGGTATTTTTATTAGCTTTTTTTTTTAATTAACTTTAAGATACAGGGAGTATTAAAGAAGACGGAATATGCTTGGCAACAGAATGCAATTAAAGTTCAATATTTATATTTGTTGCAGAAGGCTTTATTTGAAACTGATGACTGCCTTGTGCTGGGGCGAGTCCCTCTGGAGCTATTAATTAGTATTTTACAAGCAGAGCTGAGAGTGAGACTGTCTCAGAAAAAACTACAAATCCCAGAATGCACTTTCCCCTATTTTTTCTCGCGAGAATCCCGGAGGGCTAGATCAACCAATCCCTTCATGAGGAGCCTAGCTATCAGCCAATCCGAAGGCGAATGGACGCCCGAGGGCGGGAGGAGCAAGGCGCCCTAAGATTTGAAATAGGAAAGTCGGCGCGGCTGCGGGACCTGGTTCTGGAGACGCAGTTTTGGCTCGAGTTGGTTCAGGTCTTTTGTGGGTCTTTTGTGGGTAGGTGGAGGGGCGCAGGCCTCCTGGAGAAGGTGAGGGAGGTGGGAACTCACCAGGGCTCCCCGATCCGCCTGTCGCGATAAGGAAAGTGGGTTTCCGGGCGGGATTTATTTTCGGGAACGAAGTCTGAAATGCACGGCTTGTTGTTTGCACGTCGGGGTGGGCGGCGGTGAGGCTGAAAGGTTCCGGATTTCAGCGAACGAGAGTTCTGTGGCCCTCCTGGTAAGGTTTTAGGTTTTTGGGAAGGTTTTAGCGTTACAGAAAACTGGTGGAGATTGCAGTCTTACCGGACATTGCTTTACAGAAGAGGACACCAAGACCCAGAGAGTGCAGGTGACTTGTACCTTTCCTGGACTAAGCTCACTAAATTCCCACTCCAGTCGCCTGTTTAGTGCTACTTTTCCTGATCTTAGTGGGAGGGAGAGACAGGCTAGATGTGGGGTCTTATCCTATGAGAGGGGGCCATCCATCTGGGACCTGGCAATGCAGGCCAGAATTCACATGGTCAGAGTTGGAAACGCCTTATAAGTTACCAATTTTACTTGTGAGAAAACGGAGTCAGAATCTTTTTCCCAAGGTCATAGAGCTGTGTGAGTGTCTTGTGCAGTTACACTACTGACAAGTCCCTCGGAGATAAAGATGTCTTTCCTGGAATCTTGCATCTTAACGGTGGTTAAGTCCAGGTGGCTTGATCTGCCTTGGAGTATCTAGAGTTAAAAGTAAGCTGCTATTTTCTAGCAAAGGTCACACTGCCAAAATATGCTTGATTGGAATATGAGCCTGATTTGATTTTAATGACTCATAAGAAATATAATGTTCTATTTGTTTTGTAGCATTTTCTTCCAAAATGATAGAGGACGAACTTGCACTATTTGATAAAAGCATAAATGAATTTTGGAATAAATTCAAAAGCACTGTCAGTGACACTTCCTGTGGGATGGTGGGGCTAAGAGACACCTACAAAGACTCCATCAAAGCATGTGGAGGTAACTGAAGTTAACTTGTAACATGCTGTTTTGTTGTTCTTGCTTTTTATGTTATTTCAGCTGAATTAAAACTTCAATTCCAATTTCTCTTTCAGAAAAGCTGTCCGTGAAATTAAAGGAAGAAGAACGAATGGTTGAGATGTTTCTGGAATATCAAAATCGTAGGTGACAAACTGTAAACCACAGTTTTTTTAGATTGAACATCTTTAGGCCATCCCTCACACAAACAAAACAATGTACTGTGTGTGTATATATATACACACATACGTATAAAACTAATAAACATTTGTGTACCTACAACCCAGCTTAAGAAATAGAACATCCCATGTATACTTTTCTCTTCTCCCACCTTCCAGAACTAACCTCTTAGTATTTAGTATTGTGTTTTTGAATGTTATATAAATGGCATCACTTTGTGTATATTCTGTCCCTTTTTTTAATCATCAGTATGCTTGTGAGATTCATCTGTGCTGATGTGTAAATGCCAGTTATTTGAAAAATGAGTTTGTTTTCTCATTGGAAATCAGAGGCTGGGGGTTGAAAAGCTGGAGTTCCTCAGTTCTTTGGGGGTAGGGTTAGTACTCTTGACTGTTTTCTCCATATTTTTCCTGTTATTCTTGCCCTCTCGTTTATACTACTCTGGAGTTTCCACGGTGTATATGTAGGTTTTATTGAATTCTTATACACAGATCACAGACTTGTGGCCACAGGCCACAAGCTAAATTTCATGGCACCGTGTTTTAAACATTATTAATGGAATGTCTTTAGATGGAACGTGTGTCCTTTAATTTGCTACAGTCCCCAGTAATTTCTTTGGCTTTGTTTTGCCCACTTTACTTATTATTTGGCCCCTGAAGGCGTTTGATTTTGGAGCCCTGGTAGGCTATTATGCTAGCCTTTTACCCGTATTTACTGTCTGAGCTGCCCTGAAGCTTCCTTGCCCTTTTATTGTTTTCATTTCTTCTGTAACCACAAGTAGAAAGGAAAACCACTTGTGTGTATTTGTGTGTGTGTAAACATTCTTGGTTTGTAGAATTGCTGGGGATTAGAAACATAAGTTTGAAACTATCAATTTTTGCTACTATGAGTCTCAGTGTGCTCTTAAAGATGACCTGTAGTGAAAATATGCTCTAAATAGTCTAAAAACTAAAAACATTATCAATTGTTTTTCTTTAAAAAATCAGTTTATGCTTGAACAGGAATATAATTTACCCAAGTTTAATTAATTCAGTGAATATTTGACTGATAGTTGCCTAGCACAAACAGTGCACAAAGTATAATGTCTACATACTGCTTACAATTTAGTGGAATACACAGGGAATCCACAATTAAAATACATTGTAATAATTGCTGTAATAATGGAATGGGCTGAGTGAGCACAGAATTTTTTTCATTTTTAAGGTATCTACCCTAAAATGAGCATGTTTATTTGCTGCAGGAAAGAAGTCAGTGGAGAAACAGATGTTGAAAAAAGGGGTCAGGGGACAATGAGTAATAGAATAGAGGGGAGGGAATCTGGATTAACCATGGATTGGAGAAGGAGATTGGAGAAGGAGCCCCTGGTACTCTGTCAGGAGAGGATACTGATATAGATACAAGCTTGAGGGAACTTACCACGTATTTGTTGAGCAGCTACCCTTCTAGAAAGATGCTGCAGAGAACAAATTAGCCAAAAGTTCTGGCCCACCTGGAGCATCTGTTCTATTTATCGAGAGGAGGAAGATCCTCTGTTCAAAGTGAGAGGCATTTACTATGGACCAGGCTCTTAAATCCTGAAATCTTTACAAGACAGAAATTTGAAGCTCACTGAGGTTAAGAAACTTAGCTAAGGTCATACATTTGATAGATACAAGATTTAAGATTACAGCCAAAATGTGTGCTCTTTCCAGTGTACCATAAAACAACCCTTCCACATGGAAGGAAAATTCAAGGGAGGGTTTGTGTGGTGAGTGGTAGTGAAAGTTTGAAATACCTGCCCTGGAGAATAAAAGAGACGGCTGATTATGTACACATAAAATAATAGTTATGCAACATCAAGGGCCCTTACATTTGTATTGGCACAAATCCATACAGTTCATTCTTTCTTTTTTCTTTTCTTTCTTTTCTTTTCTTTCTGAAAGGTTCCAGAACTTTTTTTTTTAAAGATTTATTTATTTATTTATTTATTTGAGAGAGCAGGGGGTGGGGGGATGGGCAGAGGGAGAGAATCACAAGCCGACTCTGGGCTGAGCGCAGGGCCGATGTGCTTGATCCCACAACCCTGGGATCACGACCCAAGCCAAAATAAAGAGTCAGACACCCAACTGACTGTGCCACCCAGGTGCCCTCATACAGTTCTTTAAATATTATAATAAAAACACTGACATGTGTTGTATTTATGTATCATTAATAGTTTAGAAGTTTCCATATTATTATTATTGGAGACTCTAGCCCTGTGAAGTAAATAAATGGAGCAGCCATAATTATCCTTGTTTTATAAGCGTCGCCGAAGTTGTAATTTGACCAAGGTCCTTGGGTGACAACTGAGGAGCCAGAATGGAACCGAGACCTTTGGACTTTAAATATGCATCTCTTTTGTCATACAACATATTTATCTTTTTTTAAAGTAGCATTTTTCTGTAGCAGCCACTCTGGAAAATAGTATGGAGGTTCCTCAGAAAATTAAAAATAGAACTACCATGTGATCCCCACTATGGGTGTTTATTAGAGGAAAACGAAAACTAACTCGAAAAGATATCTGCACCCCCGTGTTTATTATTTACAATAGCCAAGTTAAGGAAACAACCTACGTGTTCATAGATGGATGAGTGGATAAAGTGGTTGTGGTGTGTGTGTGTGTGTGTGTGTATATATATTCTATCATACATATATATATATATATGTATGATAGAATAAAGCCGTGAAAGGAATGAAATGTTGACATTTGTGACACAGATGGGCCCCGAGGGCATTATGCTAAGTGAAAAAAGTCAGGCAGAGAGACAAATACTATATGATATGTGTGGAATCCAAAAAAAAACTTTTTTTTAAAACAAAAAAGCAAACTCAAAGATAACAGATTGGTGGTTGCCAGAAGCAGGGTTTGGGAGAAGAAATGGCTGAACTGTTTTTGGCTTTGGTTTTGGTTTAAATTGAATTTTTTTTTAAAGCATTTTTCTTTCTGTTAATTCTGATAAAATGTCTATTTTTAAATTATACTTGACATAATATATGATCATGCCCAAATTCTTGGAAAATACAGAAAAGTAAACAAATTATCTGAAACGTTGAGAATCATATTTAACAAAGTTACGTACTTTTTTCTTTTTTCTTTTTCATGTGCTATGTCATATTTCTGACATAATTTTGTTCATGGTATCTATATAACTTTTTTTTTAGAGTATTTTTGCATATTGCTAAATTCTTTGAAAAAATATTCTGCCTTGCTGATATACTGTATTTAATAATTTACCCATGAGCCATTTAGGATATTTTCAGTTTTTCACCATTATAAATAATACTGAAAATAATCTTTTGTATATAAGTACTTGCACACATCTTGTTTTCTTAAAGTAACTTGTAGAAATGAAATAACTAATCAAAGGACATGACTTGAATATCCTTAAGACTTGTTTTGCAATGTCAAAGATATGCCACAAGAACTCTTAGTATTGGGGCGCCTGGGTGGCTCAGTCGTTAAGTGTCTGCCTTTGGCTCAGGTCATGATCCCAGGGTCCTGGGATCAATCCCCGCATCTGGCTCCCTGCTCAGCGAGAGGCCTGCTTCTCCCTCTCCCACTCCCCCTGCTTGTGTTCCCTCTCTTGCTGTCTCGTTCTCTCTGTCAAATAAATAAAATCTTAAAAAAAAAAAAAAGAACTCTTAGTATTTTGCCTTCTCAACTGCTAGCTATTATTTTTGTAAACATTGTACTGCTTTATTTGCATTTCTGTGATTACTACTTGGGTTAAATTGTCTTTCATATTTATTAACCATCTGCAATCTACATTTCCTCTGTTTATTCCTTTGTCTGTTTTTGTCTTAGGAATTTATATTTGTGTCTTCTTTAGATTAAGAACAGTCAGGGGAGGGGCACCTGGGTGTCTCAGTCAGTTAAGTGGCTGCCTTTGGCTTGGGTCATGATCTCAGGGTCCTGGGATCAAGCCCTGAGTCTGGCTCCCTGCTCAGCAAGGAGCCTGCTTCTCCCTCTCCCTCTGTCTGCTGCTCCCCCTGCTTGTGCTCTCTCTCTCTGTGTCAAATAAATAAATAAGTAAATAAATAAATAAATAAATAAAACAGTTGGGGGAGAATATTTAATGCTCAAAAGCATGGTCTTTGAAGTCAAATCCTGAGTTTGAATCCAGGTCTTCTATTTATTGTATCGTAGCAAATAAAGCTTTGGGTACGTTAGTCATCTGCTGAGCCTTTTTCCTCTTTTAAATTAGATCTACAAAATGTATTATAGTGAAATTTAAGTAAGTTTACAGAAATAGACGGTGTTGAACAAAGTTCCTAGAATGTAGTAGAGTTTAATGCTTATTTGAATCAAATGTGAGGCTTTTCGCCTACTTATTAACTTTTATGTAGCTGGTATATGTTTTTCTCTTTGATTTCTTTTTGCCTTTGAGTAAAAAGATCTTTCCCCGTAGAACTAATTTTATATTCAGATACTGCCTTTTAGGTTTTGCAAGATTTCATTTTATATTTAAATATTTAATAAATATGGAATTTATTTTGGATTTCAGCATGGTTTGGGGAACCATCTACCACTTGTTTTTATATTTCATTTTTCATATTAATTTCCTAAATATAGCAATGTTTGTTTGGAAATGCTGTTTTTGTTTAACTAAACTGTATGTCATTTCTTCAGCTGGTACCCCACTATTGTATTAAAAGTGTCACAATCACAGATGTTAAATTTAATAGGACAAGTCCCTTTCCTCATTATTTTTCTTACTGTATTTCCTTAACTATTCTCACCTGTGTATTCGTCAGATAAATTTTATAGTTACTTTTTTAGGTCTTCCCTTTCCCTTCCCTCAAATTCCATTGGGACTGCATTAATATAGAAATGAATTTGGGAAATAGTGACATCTTTATAATATTTAGAAGCATAAAATGTCTTTCCATACATCCAGGTCACATCAAATACATGTCTCAGACAGGTTTTGCCCTTTTTTTCATATAGGGCCTGCATATTTCTTGGTCTAGATTATTCCTAGATGTTTTGTTTATTACAAATGTAAATGAGGTTTCATCCTTCCTACCTGTCTCCCTTCCTCTCTTCCTTCACTTCTTTCTGTTTTTTTTTAGTATCTTCCAGAATCATTAATATAGCATTAGAATGAACTGTTTCTTTAAAGCACTGAGTAAAAATATTGTCCAGATTTTGGTTGTCTTTGATGGTGAGCTTTATTTATGTACTTATTTGAAGAGTAGAGCTGCAAGGGTCTTTTATTTTCAAATGCAAATAGAAAAGAATAGGATTTTTTTCTTTTTGTTCTTTATAATTTTTAAACCATTAGGAAGCACTTATCAATTAAAACATTATTGATCTTATGAAAGTCAATATTTCTTATCTGTGATAGATGTTGGAGAGCAAAGTATATATATTCTAGCTAACACTTTGTGTTTCTTACAGAGATCTGTAGGCAGAATAACCTCATTCAAGAAAAAAAAGATAACTTGTTAAGGTTGATTGCTGAAATAAAAGACAAAAAGCAGGAACTGGAAGTACTGACTGCAAATATTCGGGATCTTAAGGAAGAATATGCTAAGAAGAAGGAAAGTAAGTTTCCAGTTATACACATATTTAAAACATTAACCTAAATTTCAAAGTGGTGATGGTTCACAATTCTGTATCTCTTGCCTTCTCTCCAGTTCATTACTAAAAATGGATGACATACCTCAGGGGCATAGCCAGCCACTCAGTTCTGCAAGGAAGCTGTGTGAAGTTAGCTAAGTGGGCTGTATTTTCTCTTGTTTCACTTAAAGGTCCTTTTGATTTCTAATATAACCAGAGTCATAATGCAATTGATATGGCAGCTCAATTAAGCAGAATGGGAGACAGTTTCACTAAAGATTTGTCTGGAGAAGCCATAGTATAATTTATGCAATAGAGTTATTGATCACACATTCTCTGCCAGGAACTATTAAGCACATTTTTTATGCTGTGAAGTCTCTTTGTCTAAAAAAATTTCATATTCAAATATGTGTATTTTTTTAAAAATCATAGCTATTTCTGCTGCTAACAAAGCTAATGAAGAGAGGTTGAAAAGACTACAGAAATCTGCAGACTTATATAAAGATCGACTTGGACTAGAAATTCGAAAAATTTATGGTATGTATATTAACGTAAGTAAAACATACGAGATTAGAAAGGCATATCTTAAGTAGCGAATTTAAGAAAATAATGACAACATCAACTTTTTAGAAAATAGGAAAGAATTTAAACATTTTTATCATCCTAACATAATTACTGCTGCCTTGGTTATTTATCATCCAGTATTTTAATAAATGTATTTTTGGCATGACTGCCACCATGAAAATAATTTTTGTTCCTTGTTCTTACTGGTATTGTATGATTAGCATTTTTCCAGTTGCTGTCGCCTTCCTATGGTAGTTTTAAAATGGTAGTGTAATAATTCATTCCATTAATGTATCTTAATTTATCCAATCTTTTATCTATCATTTAATACAGGTTTGTTTCTAACTTAACCTTTGGATTCTGCCTGTGGTTCAGTTTTAGAAGTACTACAGTGAATATAGACTTCTCCATTTCTTTTGTATAATTTCCATGGAATTCCCAGAGAGGCATTACTGGGTTAAAGCATGTAAATATTTTAATGGCGTTATGTGTAGTATATGTGCCAATTTATATCAATATTCTTTGTGTTATCAGTCCCTAAGATCACCATCAGGTTTGGTGATTCCCTGGAAAGACTTACAGGACTCTGCATATAGTCATATTCATGGCTCAGGTTTATTGCAGAGAGGATACAAAACAAAATCAGCCCAAAAAAGGCACAGGGGTAAAGTCTAAAAGAAACACTTTTTCAGACATAATTTTTTAAGAGTCTTAATCCAGCAGAGTCACACAGGATGTGCTTAATTCCCTTAGCACTGAATGTGACAATACGTGTAAAGTGTTGTCTACCGGGGAAGCTCATCAGAGACTCTTGCAGCTTTTGGTGGTTTTCTCTGGACTTCACCCCATGTGTTTTTCCCTTTGCTGATTTTGCCATAGCCTTTCTCTGTAATAAATCATAGCCCTGAGTATGACCCTATGGGGAGTCCTGTGAGTCCTCCTTGTGACTCTTCAAATCTGGGGTGTTTTGGGGGGCCCCAACACCAGCCAACGACGAACTTGCAAGCAGGCCTTTCTAAAATTCTTAATGATAGCAGCGTCAGGCCTGCCATATTAATTCTTTTGTGCACTCCTCTCTACAATGTAAAGAGTATCCATTTCATTGTTTTCTTGCAAAAATTGTAGTTTTTTAAGTTTGTGTTTGGTTTTTTTTGGCAGTTGACTAGATATAATTGGAGCATTTATTTTTAAGTGCATTTCTTTGATTATTAATGAAAAGGTAAACCTTTTTTCTGTATATTTAATTATATTTCTTTGATCGTCTGGGTTCTTCATTCATATATCTGTTAGTCTTGTTTCTGCCGCACCCCTCCATCTTTTGGAATAAGCTTTTAATAAAAAATAATCTTTTGATTAGAGGGAAATACAGGGTCCAACTCTGAATTTTTGATCCATTGGACTTAATGTCATCCTGAGGTGCTTTTGAACCAGAAAGCTTTACAATTATTTCAGATTTAAAAATAAAACTTTCTCATAGTTAAAGAAGACAACCCAAATTAAAACCTTCATTATCTTAGGAAGTCTTTTTTCCTTGGCATGTTTCCCTCCCATTACTATTAACACTTTTAAAAATCTGGTGTACTGGGGGCACCTGGGTGGCATAATCAGCTAAGTGACAGACTCTTGGTTTCAGCTCAGGTCATGATCTCAGGGTTGTGAGATCAAACCCTGAAACCTGCGACGGGTGTCAGGCTCTCTACTCAGCATGGCGTCTGCTTAAGATTCTCTCTCCCTCTGCCCTTCCCCACCCCTCTCGTACATACATACATACATACATACATACATAAATCTTTTTTAAAAAATCTGGTATAGTAATGTAATTATTTCATTTTGAATAAAAATGTAAGACAAATGTTTTTCAATATTACTTTTTGTAATTAAAACTATTTTTTTATTTTAATAAATGTCTATTTTAATGTTTTTCACAGTAGAATAAATCCTTCTCTTGATGACTGCAGATATGTAAGGCTGTTTGGTAGTGTTCAGAACCACCACAGTAATGGTGGTCTCCCTGATCGGTGTGTAGTCTTCAGTAATTATAAGGATTTTCTTGTCTGAAACTGCTGTCAAACCAGCAGGACTGCATTTATGAATCCGTCATTTTCAGGACTGTTGGTAACCTGGGCATATTTTCCCCAAATAACTTTGCCTTCTTTTGTCACAAGGCCCAACTCAGGTTCACCTCAGTTACAGTACCTTTGGTAGTAACTCCCAAAGTTGTATATAGTGGGGATGAAGGCTTCTTTTTTACACCAGGTATTGGCAGGCAAAAGGTGGCTTTCAATTCAGGGTGTGTTACATGGGCCTTTTTGAAACGTAAGCCCATTGGTCTCATGAATCTTTCATATTTAGGTGGTTTTCCAGTAAAGCTGTCTCCAACAAGGCAGACTTCAGTGACCACCCTCTTCCATGCTTGCTTCTTTCTCTTTCATGTTCGAATCACTTTTGATACTTCTGTTTCTCCCTGCGCACGGACTTTGGGTAAAGGAACTTCCCATTTTCCCACTTTCTCTTTTTGTTTTTGTTTAATCATATTGGAAAGTACTTTAGCTCGGGACTGTCCCTCTCTGTCCAGTAGATACACAGGTACTGCTCCTTGTGGAGTCTTTTCATCATTCTTTTTTTTGGTGTTTCTCTTGCATCTTGATAGTCTTTTTCATTTGTATTGTCTCAGCATGGCACTGTTTATGGTAGAGCTTAGCTTTCAGACCAATCATCTTTTTTGCCTTCTTTGATCATTCATGAGCCTCTCGACCTTCTTTCTCTTTTTTTTTCATGGTAATCCAAACGATAACCATATCACTTCCGGTGTAACTCAATGGATTCATTTTGTGGCGTGGTGACGGCCGCAGAGCTGTCGGGTGCAGCTGCTGGGGTGTGAAGAAGCTCTCAATTTTCGGGTCTCCCAGACCTGTGAGCTGACTCCACGCAAGCTGCGACCTAATTAAAACTATTTTTAAAATGAGATTTCCTAATTTTTTATGCTGTAGAGCAAAATTAAAATGCATGTGAGTTTCTACTTTGTGGCTGCCATTTTTAATTTCTAATGGGCATTTACTCCTTTGGGAGCATTTGGAGGTCTTTTGGAAAATAGGCATTAAGTCTGGATTACTGTGTAGAAAAGATCAAATTAAATCTGTTCAGTAGTACATTTTTTTATTGTGGTAAAACTGACCTAGAATTTGCCATTTTATCTATTTTTATCATCAATTCAGGGACATTAATTACATTGACAATGCAGTGCAATCATCACCACATTTCCAGAATTTTTCATCACTACAAATAGAAATTATGTACTCATTAAGCAGTAACTTCTTATTCCTCCCCGCCAGCCCCTCATAACCTCTAATCTACTTCCTGTCTCTATAATTACCTATTCTATTTCATATAGGTAGAATCCTATAGTATTTGTTCTTCTGCATCTGGATTATTTTACTTAGCATGTTTTCAAGGTTCATTTATGTTGTAGCATGTATCAGAAGTTCCTTCCTTTTTATGACCAAATAATATTCCATTGTATGTATATACGATATTTTGTTTATCTGATCATTCATCAGTGAACACACGGTTATTATCACCTTTTGGCTGCCGTGAGTAATGCGGCTATAAACGTTGGCAAAGTTACAGGAGTCCCTAGTTTCAGTTCTTTTGAGTACGTACCTCGGAATAGAGTCACTGGGTCCTATTGTAATTCTTAATTTAAACTTTTTGAGGCACTGCCAAACTTTTCCACAGCTTCAGCACCATCTTGCATTCGTCTTCATCCACACTTTTCTTTTTTGTTTTGTTTTGTTATAGCTGTCCTGGTAGGTGTGAAATGATATCTCATTGTAGTTTGGTTTGCGTTTCCCCAGTGATTAGTGGTGTTGAGCATCTTTCCATGTGCTTATTGACCATTTGTGTCTGTTCTTTGGAGAAATATCTATTCAAGTCCTTTTTGTCCATTTTTGAATTGGGTTCCTTTTCTTTTAGTTGTTCAGTTGTAGTTTTTTAAAATATATACTATATATTAAATCCATGTCAGAGATACGATTTATAAATATTTTCTCCCATTCTGTGGGTTATCTTTTTCACTCTCTTGATAATATCCTTTGAAGGACAAAAGTTTGTATTTTTTGATGAAGTCCAATGTATCAATTATTTTCTTTTGTTGTGTTTTTTAAAAATCATATTTAGAGTTCATTTAAAACTAATTTGTAGCTTGTACATTTGGAGGCTTGGTTAAATATACATATATGTATGTATGTATTTAGCATATAGATATTAAGGACAGAGGTGAGAAAGCTCATCTCCATTGAAACTCTTGGCATGATAAAATACTCTCATACTAAATAATCTAATCTCTCTTTTCAGGTGATAAATTACAGTTTATATTCACTAATATTGACCCTAAGCATCCTGAGAACCCATTTATGTTTTCCCTCCACCTAAATGAAGCCAAGGAATATGAAGGTATGTATTCCTATCTCTTAACTGGTATTTAAGATTGGCATCCACAAATGTTATCTGACTCCACATAGAAAGTAATAGGAAGGAAAATAATTCCCACAAGGTAGTGCTTTCTTTGCCAGTCTTGCTTCATGGGATAGTGTCTTCTAAAGCCTGTGAGTATAGTTGTGATTTATAGTTATTATGTAGGTTCCTAAATATGTACCTTTTCTTCAGAATGGCACGGTGCCACAGTGGCAGAAAAGTGTTAAAGACCACAGATCAATGCATTTCCTATACCAGTTTGAATTATCCTTTTAGAGAGCTTAAAGCTATTATAAGGGATATAACTATGTAAATATGAATATTATAATTTATGCAAGTAGTTGATTTTAAAAGCAAATGCTAAGTCATCAGAATGTGATCATTTATTTTCCCAGAAATCAATTTAAGAAATATTACTGTCTCCTGAAAAATCCCACACATTGATAATTTAGCTCACTTACTGATTCTCCAGCCAGCCAGAAGGTCATCAATTTATGGGGAATATATATGATTGATAATAGGGGGAACAAGAAGAGAATGGAAATATATTTATTTCTTTTTAATTCTTCTAGTGCCCCCTTTAAAGTAATTTTTCGTTTATTGGAATTAAGGAAAATGGTTCTCAGCTCATTAGACCTGTGTTCTCATCTTAAAGCATTTATAGCAGATAGACACTCAGGAGAGCTGCTGAGTTGGCTCCCTAATGGACCTGGGGGACTTGGTCCTTGTTCTCATGGAATTACTATTGTAGGAATTTCTATTGTATATTGTATTTATATATTCTCTCAGTAAATATTTTTTAATGAGTGCTAAATTTTAAAAAGCAAACCCAAAAAAACCACATACCTAGGTTTTTAGTGTTCTCCAAATTGTATATTCTCTCTTGCTATGTAGTATCACAGTATTTGATAGTGTATCAAAATAGAATCTACAGTGTGATTTTGAACCAAGTGCTCCTTGCTGTTCTTTCTCTTGTGGTCATTGTCCTTGTTTCCTAAGCGATCTCAACCAGAAAGCTGGAAACCTGACATGGTCGGATTTCTTCTCCTTGGACAAAGGACCAAATTGTTGGGAGAGAAAGCTGGATCATTCCCTTCCCTTGACTACCCTCCCTGGAGACTTGGTCCCAAGATGTACCATTTTGTACAACTACATGGAGAGCCGTACGGTTACTTGTGACTTTGTGTCTCATTTGATTAGGAAGCCCTATAATTACCACTTGTAGAACAGCAGTCACGTTTTCTAATGAAAACTTATAAAAGTTAAGATTTTTTCCCTGTAATTATAAATTATTAAAAGTTGGCTTTGAAAGTTGTTCTCTTTTGATCTAGTGACCAGAAACTAGAAGTCAAGCCAAAGTTTACAGAGAAAACTGACTTACCCGTTTAAAAAAACAACACACACACCTGTTAAAACAGTTTAGTGAAAACAAAATGTATAGAAAGATGATGGGAAATAACATTCTGTTCTTTATCACTAAGCTCTTCAATCCCTTGACTACCATCTGTTTACCTTTAAAGTAAGATTGTAGTACTTAAGATTTTAATATTTAGAGATTAAACAAAGAATAGGTCCAAAAGATAGGATATGAAAATCAATCGTATCTATTGTTCTGTGCTCAAAGCATTTCAGTAAAATGGACTTGAAATGATTTGAATCAGATGAAAGCATCTAAATTAGAAACACTTCTCTTCCATAAAAAAATCTCATTCAAATTATCTTTTTTTTTTTCTTTTTCTTCTAGTGTCAGATAGTGCTCCTCATCTTGAGTGCCTGGCAGAATTTCAAGAGAATGTAAGGAAGACCAACAATTTCTCGGCTTTTCTTGCCAATGTTCGGAAAGCTTTTACTGCTATGGTTTATAATTAATGTATGAATAGTATATAAAAATTGTTCATTTTTCTTCCCTATTGTGTATCTCTCTCTCTCTTTTTTTTTATCATCGTGTATCTCTTTTAAAAAGAATTCTCATCCATTGTTTGCCTATAATTTTTTTGTATTTCTGTAATATTTCTGTGTGGTGTATTTCTTTAAATTATTTTAATTAAAATCTTAAGAAATAAAATTTATAAAGTCAAATGTGTCCTTTCTAAAATGAAAGGTAGTGTACTATGTATATATATATATGTGTGTTTGTATACATATTTTTTAATGGCAGGCATGGGCAGTTTAAGGCTAGCCTGGAAATGGGAATTCGTACAACCAACACTGTGTCTCATTGGTTTCCAAGCTTTTTATTTTTTATTTTTTTTTTAAGATTTTATTTATTTATTTGCCAGAGAGAGCAAGAGAGTACAAGTAGGGGGAGCAACAGGGAGCCCGATGCGGGGCTTGATCCCAGGACCCTGGGATCGTGACCCAAGCTGAAGGCAGACGCTTAACCGACTGAGCCACCCGGGTGCCCCTCCAAGCTTTTTAAGGTCATGGACTAGTAATAAAAAATTAGGAATGTGGGCCCAACCTAAGGTTAGCAAATTTTGAAATGTACTTGGCAAAAATAAATACTACCTACTATCATTCTAATACCATAAAGGAAAGAATATTTTTCTCTCACACCAAAAGGAATCTGTAGTTAAAATAAAGGGCAAACCTTCACATCAGAAGTTTGGCAGGATTCTGCTAAGATACTCAAAGAAGGATAGATACATTTTTGAAAATCCAAAAGTGGAAAATTTACAATCCATTTCCATTTTATAACATTTATACTGTTTAATTGTGGTCTGGATATAAGTTTGTCATCTTGGAATCTTCTTCAACACAGACTAGAGTTAAAATGTCAACTTGTTCTAAGATTCTGGTTTTTGGGGCGCCTGGGTGGCTCAGTTGGTTAAGCGACTGCCTTTGGCTCAGGTCATGATCCCAGGGACCTGGGATCGAGCACCGCATCAGGTTTCCTGTTCCGCGGGAAGCCTGCTTCTCCCTCTCCCACTCCCCCTGCTTGTGGTCCCCCCCCCCCGTCAATTAAATAAATAAAATATTTAAAAAAATAAAAAAAAAACGGTTAAGATTCTGTTTTTTGTCACTATCCTTCCCTTGCGAATTCAGTTGTATTTAGGTATGCTGCCTATAACGGAAGCCACATAATACTGGTTCAGGATATCTTGGGCACAACTAAAAGCCACAAAACAATGGCCTCCATGCCTCCAGTTCCTTCTGCTACTCCCTGAAGTCTAGGGGGAATTTTCCAGCCAGTTATCTAGAGTAGGAAGAGAGTTTCAGAGCACTTCCCCTCAGTTGCCTCTCATGCTTAGGACTTGGCTCAGAGCTCTGCTCACCATCATAATAGCAGTAGAATTTATCTGAAAAGAATGCTATGGGTTGGTGGGAATGTTGTCACTGACCCATCCCGTCGTGCAGACCAGCTTTTAGGAACCATTGATTGATATTATCTCTGTAGAGAGAAAAGGTTAATAAACTGCCCTAGAGATTGGAGTGTGTGCTACCAACATTTTATTTTATATTTTTAATATTAAATAATAGTAAATATTAAACAACACACTAATGCACAAGCAATGGGCCAAATAAACAACAAATCCATATATGTCAAAACAAGAAAGAAAACACAATATTTGAAAACCTATGGAGTGCAGCAAAAGCAGATGGTAGAGTGAAACTTATGCTATAAATGCTTATATTAAGAAAAAAAGTTGAAATAAAAAATTATACCCCAAGAAACTAGAAAAAGAAACAACAAATTTAGTAGAGAAAGCAAATAATAAAAATGAAATAAATAGAATAGAGACCAGAATAAGCAATAACATAACATTGGAAGTAATGACCAGTTTTTCAAAAAAATAAATAAAATTGGCATGCTTTACACTAAGAAAAAAAAGACTCAAAAATCAAAATGAGAACGAGAAAACAATGCAGCAGATACCACAGAAATACATAGTGTGATAACAGATTACTATAAGCAGTTATATACTAACAGATAACTTGGGAGATAATTTGGGAAAAAAGCAGGTAATTCTTAAAAATGCACAAGATACCAAGATTGAATCATGAATTTTGAATCCAAAAAATAGGAAATCTTAGACCAATAACAAAAATGAAAGTTGAAATAGGAAGCAAAAATCTCCCCAGCACAAGAAAGCCCAAGACTACATGGTTTCATTAGTGAATTCTACCATTTAAAGAAATAAAAAAATGACAATCTTTATTAAAATCTTACAAATAATGGAATGGAGGGCAGACATTTAAAGTCATTCTTTAAAGCCAGTATTACCCTAATACCAAAAGCAGGATAAAAACAATACAAGAACAAAAAAGTCTAGTTTGTCCCATGTAAGTATTTAGGCTCCATCTTGCTCTTGACATCCATTTGCTTGATAAATGTTTCTCCACCCCCTCACTTTCAGTCTGCAGGTGTCTTTATGTCTAAAATAAGTCTCTTGTAGGCAGCATATAGATGGCTTTTTTTTTTTTAATCCATTCTGACACCCTATGTTTTTTGATTGGAGCATTTAGTCCATTTACAAAATAATTACTGATACATATGTATTTATTGCAATTTTATTACTTGTTTTATTGTTGTTTCTGGATATTTTCTCCGATTCTTGTCTTCATCACTTTTGGTCTCTCCTCTGTACTCAGAGTTCCCTTTAATATTTCTTTTTTTTTTTTAAGATTTGGTGTATTTATTTGACAGAGAGAAAGAGAGAGAGAGCACAAGCAGGGGGAGCAGGAGAGGAGAAACAGGCTCCATGCTGAGCAGGGAGCCCGACATGGGGCTCGATCCCAGGACCCTGGAACCATGACCTGAGCCGAAGGCAGACGCTTAACTGATGGAGCTACCCAGGTGACCCCTCCCCCCTTTAATATTTCTTGCAGGGCTGGTTTAGTGGTCATGAACTCCTTTGGTTTTTGTTTGCCTGGGAAACTCTATTTCTGCTTCCATTCTGAATGATAGCTTTGATGGATAGAGTATTCTTGGCTGCAGATTTTCCCATTCAGCACTTTGAATATATCATACCATTCTCTTCTGGCTTGCCAAGTTTCTGTTGAGAAATCTCCAGCTAGCCTTATGGGTTTTCCCTTGTAAGTTAAGGACTTCTTTTGTCTTGCTGCTTTTAAGATTTTTTTATCATTATATTTTGAAAATTTAATTAGATTATGTCTAGGTGTTGGCTTGCTTTTGTGATTTTGAAGGGCATTCTCTGTGCCTCCTGGATATGGATGTCTGTTTCCTTCCCCACATTAGGGAAGTTTTCTGCTATTATTGCTTGAAATAAATTTTCTGCCTCCTTTTCCCTCTCTTCTTCTGGGATTCCTATAATATGAATATTATTACATTTGATGGAGTCACTGGGTTTCCTAAATTTATTCTTGTGTTGCATAATTCTTCTTTCTCTCTTGTTCAGCTTCATTATTTTCCATTATATTGTCTCCTAGGCCACTAATTCATTCCTCTGCTTCTTCCAGCCTGCTCTTCATTGCATCAGGCCTGTTTCCAATCTGTTATTGCATTCTTCATCTCTGATTGATTCTTTTTTTTTAACTCTTTTATCTCTGTGGTAAGGGTCTCCTGATGTCTTCTATTCTTTTCTCAAGCCCAGTGAGTATCCTTATGATTATTGCTTTAAATTCTTCATCAGGCATGTTACTTATGCCTGTTTTGCTTAGATCTCTGGCTGTGACCCTATCTTGTTCTTTCATTTGGGATAAATTTCTCCATCTTGGCATTTTGTCTAAGTCTCTGCCTTCTTCTGTATGATGGAAAAGCTAGTTATGTCTCCTGCCCCTGAAAGTAATGGCCTTATGAAGAAGAGGTCATGTAGTGCCCAGGGCCTGGCGCTTCACAGGGTGTCTGCAGTATATGCTGTGTGCACTCGGCTGTCATGTTCTGGCTGCTATCCTTCAGACCAGTGATCTGCTTCTTGACTGCTGTGGGCAGTGTCTGGTCCCTGGCCTGAATGTGGTGAGTTTTAACTAGGTGTGCTCTAATCTACTTGCAAAATGAGACCTGACACCAACTCCACCAGAACTGAGGCCCAACAGAACTCTCTCGATGGGAGATCTGGGCAGGGGTTTGTGCTTGTCTCCTTGGGGTGGGGAAAGGGGGAGCTGCCTCACTGGGACTGAGACAAGCTTGACTGAAAAGGGCAGTCCCACTAGAGCATGGGGTGGGGTGCGTGGCTTGGTGTAAGCAAGTTAGGTAGTCATTGTCCTGGTTGACTTTCCTTCAGATGGCTCTGTGTTTATGTTGAGGAGTGGGGGAGGGATATGACACCAGTCAGTGCCTTTGTTTCTGGAGAAGCATCTGGGGCTTGTGCCTAACAAAGTCCTCTCCTATTTTATTATGGGCTTGGCCCAAGATAGTATTTTAACAGTGGCAGTACAATGAGCAAAAAAGTACAGTTTTCCTAAGCAGATCTTCACATTTGGCCTTATTTTTTTATTTAATGACATTTAAATGAATACATAAAATCATATCAAAACTCAATTTTGGTTTTTGTAGATCTAGCTTGATTTGGAGCTCAAATTATATTAGCAGGATCCATTGTTTAGCTGTTTTTTCCAGGTTAAGGACCTCAGCAATTTCAAGCTCATCCTAATCCCTGAACTAATCACTGGTGATCAGGAGGTAAATAAAATACATGCTTTGGATTAGACTAGCTCCTGCCAAAGCCCAGGTGTGGAGGCAGATTAACTACAATAACAGAGCTAAGAGTAGGGATGTTATAGTTCTCTAAGGGAGAGATTAGATATTTGATACAAAAAATAGATAACTACTACAGTGAATATATATTTACTGAATTCCCTACCTGAAATATATCTACAAGGAATAAACATCAAACTTAAAGAAAGATCGTCATTCACTGAAACTAGAGGAAGACCATGTCTCATACCACAAACTCTTGACGATATAATGTTTTGAACCATGCAGTGAAGACATTGAGCTGGTTGCCTTGGCAAGGAACTCTGAAGTGTTCCTTTCACTTGC